TCACGTTTGGACGAACACTCCTCTTGCCCTTCCTCACACTTTCAAAAAGAACACCTTCTATCTTCCTTCTCTCTCTTTCCGCTTTCCGTGCACGCGTCTCGATACCGGACATAGATGGTTCAGATAAAAGAAATAAACAGTAAATCACAAAGAGTAGAAGGTAGATCTCCTAGCCGGAGCGGCAATTCATTTGGACTTAGAGAATGACACTCAGCAGAATTAAAAAAATAATAATAATAAATAAATTGAAGAGAGGACTGACTTATCGAACGGGTCCGATCAGATTAGTTGGAGATCCCCTCTTGTCTAACCTGACAAGGTACATGTACCACAATAAATCAGCCGAAGAAAACTAATTGCACCAATGGAGATTTCAAGGGGTGCAGACGGTCGCCGAGCCAGACGCGGGGCAGTATGTGATAACATGGAGTAAGACTAGTTAAGATCCCCTTGAAAGGAATGCCCTTGCTAGTCGTATGTCCTTACTCCCTCTCGCTTACTCCAATCACCCTCCTTTGTGTATCGCCACCCCATCTAGTCACTCAAGCAACCTGGTCAGGTCTAATGTCGACCCTACATGACCTAACCAGGTGGGGGCAGTATCCACATACCTCACTGCCCCTCTTAACCCTAACTTCCCAACCCTAATCCGAGATTAGGTTAGCCCTAACCTAATTCGGAATTAGGTTTAGGGTGACTAACACTTCTCGCCAGCAAGTAAGTCCGCTCCGATACCAATTGTTACGATCCTGGTCATTTCCAAAGTGCAAATTCACAATGAAAGACAATGCCACCCAATTGCGAAAGAAATGAAAGCACTTGCAAAGAGATAGAGACTAGAGGAGAGAGAAAGAAGAAGAAGAAGAAGAAGAAGATGTACACCAGCAAGACCATTGACAATTTCCCCTTCTCTCTCCACCTTCCTCCTCCTCCTTCACTTCGCCAATCTTATTCTTCTCTCAATAATAATAATGATAATGAATGGATGAACCAGAATCAATATCCGAAGTTCCCTCTTACTGCTGACTCAACAACAACAACAACAACAACAACAACAAGCCCACCATAGCTATGGCTTCCATCCTTCTGCCTCCTCTCTCATGCATAGGCTATGGCGGACTACTGAGGGTCCTGCCCTCCTGTCCAAAGGACAACCCAAAGCAGCTATGGCGCTGCACTCCTATCCAAAGGACAATCCAAAGCAGCTTTGATGCTGCTGACTGGTCCGACATGCCTGACTCTGCCTCGAGCTTCCTTGGTGCGGCACTACCCCAACTGGGGCCTTCCAGATGCAGCGCCCAACAAGGTGATGAAGACGGTGTCCACCATAGGCAGGTAGGTGCCTCGCCACTCTCCTCCTTAGCCCCCTTCTTCCTCCTCCTCAAGCTGGGCTGCTCGCCATAGCCAGGCTGAGCTCCAGCTGCCCTTCANAGCCCCCTTCTTCCTCCTCCTCAAGCTGGGCTGCTCGCCATAGCCAGGCTGAGCTCCAGCTGCCCTTCACCTCCAAGCAGCGCTGTATCAGCCAGCGTTGTGCTCCAGCAGCATGTCGCCAATCCTTGCATACCGCAGATGAGGAGGAGCTACTTGCTCCTCCGAAAGATATAGCGGCCTACTGGCCTCCTGGGCGGTGACTTCCTAGGCCGAGCGGCCTCCCAGCAACCGGTACCTCCTCCCTTTCGGAGGGAAACATCATTGCAGGCTCTGCTAACCTCCGGACAGGCCTTGGACTGGTACCAGCCTACCGCTAGCCTACCGCTCCTGGGCCTCTAAAAATGCCAGCTTATTGTCTTCTTCTGCTCGGCCTCCAGTACCCGACACTTCTACCACTACTTCAGTGGTACCGGCCTACCTGCTAATTGAGTGTTTTCCCCCTCTGCTCTAAGTGTCGCGGGCCTACCCCCGCTACTCGAGTGTTTTCCCCCGCTGCAACCCTCACAGTCACGGCCACAGGTAAGTACCGGCCCTGCGGGGCCTTGCAACCAACAAGTACCCTTGCGGGTCACACACAGACTCAACCGACAAGCACTCAGACAGGCATGCAAACCAGCAGGCACGAACACACACACAGACATGGAAATCACAGCAGAATGCGGGAATTTCAGCAAGGCAGTCATTCCAGCGGCAAATTCCAGAAATCAGCAGTGTTCTCAGTCTGTGTTTTTGGCGGGTCATTACACTAGTTTGAATCTGTGCACGAAGGAGGACTTCGGGCTCAGATGTTTGGATCCATTTAATAGCCGCTGAGTGTGAATGTACATTTGGGCGAGTTTCGTGCATGATAGTCAACACATTGATTGGACTTCGCTGGTTTTTGTATTGAGAATTTTTGCTGAGGAGAACCTCATTGTCTTTTTGTAGTTGCTGCAGTATGAGAGCACCCGTCCAGGGCCGTCCTTATACTTGTGACTATACTTGTTTTGGTCTGATGACTCTGATCCCTGAAGACTGGTGATGACATTGAGGGAAGAGTCGGAGGAAGAAGACTGTGACTGTCTGAAGTGGCAGTCCTGACCTGGTGTTGGTGGAGGAGCTTATGTGTGACCAGACTGTGCAGCAGCATCTGGCGAGAGAGCCTCCGAGAGGCTCGTCGAAAGAGAGAGAGTGAGAGGTAGTACTAGGGCTAACTTCCCGGCTAAGTAGGCTAGTGATACTGTGATACATGTGTAGATGGACTGGAGAGTAGTGCAGGCGGACACATCACACAGGGCGACCGCATTGCTGTCATGTCGAGTATTGGAGACGAGAAACAGGCTTTCTTGTCAGAAGACCAGAGTTCAGTCTGCAGACAGTGTTGTTAATAGGTGTGCTCACTGTGCTGTGCTCTCAGCAATTGTAGATTCTGCTTTCAACTAGCGTTAACTTACTCATGCTTGTTCTTCTATCAAGTTCTATGAGATTTTGTGTCCCTAGCAGGCATTTTATGTTCTCATTGGATGGTTCTTGACATCTTGGCATCATAGCCGGTTCCATGACACGTGCCATCCTGGTTGGCGAGACATCGGAGACAGGTAGTATGGTGGCAGCGGTAGACCACAGGGCAGTGCCACAGCGTTGTTGACTTTCTCACCGGCCGGTACAGGCTCAACAGGGCATCCATTGGGTAGAGAACGCATATGTGGCAGACTGGCAGTTTCACGAGATATGTGGCAATGTGGAGGGTCCCGAGGGCTGGTGAAGCGGCAGACGGAATACGACTCTCCTTCCTTCCTGCAGGGGGAGGGAGGCTCACACACGACCTCTCTACCTAGTACGGTACTACCTGTCATCCAAGTGGAAGGGGTCCGGGGGGAAGTCTGTCGGTGGTCTCAGCGGAAAATCGGCTTCGATGGATGTCCAATCATTGAAGATCAAGTGGTAGTTCCTCTCTGGCACCTTCCCCCTTCACTGTCCCCTGACCACTCCACCCTTGCCACCCATCCACCTGCATCTTCCCCCAGCCAGTCTTTGCAGAAGCTGGATATTATTTTCTTTCTGATGTCCGCCGGGTCGCCAGCCTGTGTAATTTAGTGTAACCTATCTAGATTTTCATTGATGGCCCTCCATATGGTGAAGGATTTCATGTCGGCCATGCTGCTGGATTCCGTCCATCACTTCCTCGGAGTTCCTCCCCATCCACCCATACGACGCCACCCCAGGCGTGAATACACCTGTGCCACCATATTACCCACAGGGCCACAGGTGACAGGACCACTCTCCTTGCCATCCTGATTCAGAACATGTTAGAGATGAAGACACTTTCTTGACCTTTCGGCCAGTCGCCGCCCAATATGGCTCTCCAATCCCATGGCCACTGACTCGCACCCTTCATCTTCCTCCAAAATTCCAAAATTTAATGGAATCCCACCGCCTTGTGTGAAGTTGTGAACACCACCACATGGTCCTGCAAGAAAATGTGCTCAATCGGTTCTGCTAATTTTCGTGGGGGATGAACAATTGCAGATAGTGCATACACCAGGGGTCGGTCACGCCCGTCTGTTCCAGCATAGTCACCGGTAGTGTGATCTACCTATTATCGACTTTGAGTCTTTCGTGAGCAAACATCTATGTGCAATTTGCCACTGTAGTGATGTGATTCTGCCCGGCTTCTTTTTAGTAATATCCTGAAACCATCTTATCGGCTTGAGGAGGGCAGCATCGTTGGTATCGAGGTTTTTTGCCCATCTCTCCCGGCTCTCCGTGATCACATCAATCATGTTCCTCTTAACTCTTGAGCATTCTTGCTTTTACGTCTAAATTCAAATCAAAGTACTGTTGTCTGTTTGTCTGCATAGAAGCATATTAGGGCTATCGTAGATGATTCCTCACAATGCATGTTTAACTTGCTGATTGTTATATGTGTCTAATGCTATCTATATCTAGGGGATTGGGATTCTATGAAGCGGTTTTTGTCCCACTGTTCCTTTCTATGGGCCAATCCTTCAAACACCAACTTCCTTTTTATGACATCCTGAACTGGACTTGGTTTCACTTTCTCCCTCAGTTTTTCCACCCCGTCACTGAACCACGGAGCCTAGCAGAGAAACAAGGGGGGGTGCATTGTCCAATATTCGCAGTATTTTTGAACCATCTTCGTGAAGGTGTATAACGAAGGAAAAGAAGTGTTGAGTTTATGAAACCCTTGTCCCATATCAATCTGCATGTGGTTCAAAATAACCATGAACAACCATCTGATGATCAAAAGTTAGGCAGGCTGATAGGCAAGATCTCAAAGTTGAGCTCAAGCATCTCTATTATAGTTATTTATGCCTAGAAAGAAAGCATTACTTTTTTCTAGGCTTACTATGCTCAGTAGTATGCTGATATTATCACTTATGGTTTCTTGTGTCTTTTCCTAAATAATTATGTTTGTTCAACTTTGTTTCTCTATTTATCTGAAAGTTCGAAAACTGATAATCCTTTAAACATATTTTTTTGACATTAAACTTTTACCGTTTTACGTTTGTTATGTATTCTTTTCGTTCTTTCTTTCTTCTTTTCCCAATTTTGTTTCAAACTTTCAGGTCAAGCCACTGCTGGATTTAGGTTCTCGAGGGGTACCTTTGGATTCTGACAACATGCCAAGCTTGCATAGGAAACACAAGGCGAGGTATATGGGAGATATGCTGACAGATGCCTGGAACAGAGAGTGCATGGTAAGACTCGCCCTTACAGTCCCTTAATGATAAAAAACTTTAAAAAAGACTCACCTTTACCACATGACATTGTGGTTAACAGGGTGTGTGACATCCTGAAGCACTTGTCAATGACCTCAATTTGTTAGGGCAAAGCTGGAGGTCCGGCTTAAACCACCAGTACCTTTCCCCGGTGTCCCCACTAAGCCTTGAAATCTAAGACGTGCCGGGTAACGCGGTAGCCAAGCGGGGGAGGCCCGTCGTTGATAAACTGAATTGGCAGCCGGGCCTCCGACACTGCCCGTGGCCGACGTATGGGAAAGCTGCTGGTGGCTTAAAGTTTAAAACACCAGTACCTTTCCCCACTTTAAAACAAATATGCGGCTCATTTATGGCTGCAACTTTTGCGGCTTGGGGTGCCAGACCAAAATGGGTGGCGGCACCAGCCAAAATCAAGCCCACGCCGGTTCGTTCTTTTTTGGCGCAGGGCATTTTCAGGATCGGCCTCAATAGCTGGGCAAGGTACTGGTTCCAGTCTGATGGTTTAACTAGATCCTGTTGTTTTGGCTGTCAGTGCTTGTAAGTTGTAATCCATGATGCAGTACAAAACTCCAGGCGTATGGGTTGTTACCTCTGGGGCTATCGCCCCATGAGCAGCAAACTGGTGTGCCGATTTGCCAATGAGATATTACTAATAATAACTTTGTTGCATTTATTGGGCCTTCAAATTTCTTAGGAGAATATGCATGCTTTAATTGACCATCACCCGAGGATATGTGACACTTGTTTTCGGAATGAGCAAACTGCTCTGGAGTCACTTTGTTTTTTTTGTTTTTTTTTTGGGACAAAAGCTCCAATCTATTCGTGGGGAGCAACACGTGCTGGGAACCGGGCCCAGCTTCCCATGTAGAATTATACAAATGATTTGAAATACCAGGGCCATGACCTGTCTTCGGCTAAGAACAATCTGAGACTTATGAAAAAAATCAGGAAAATTTAGGAAAAACGTGGATCCCTGGAATACCCAACAAAACACTCTAAAATTCTCTAACACTGTCTAATTCCCTGCCGAGCTCTCCCTGGGGCCTCATGCCCCCACCCTGCTAGGTGACAGGGCAACACAACTCACCCCAGCTCCGGCCAGCATTGTCCCGACAGCAACCCTTGGTTTTCCCTTGGAATGCCCGGCCCAAGGCATCCCCAGATCTCTCTACCAGGCCTCACGCTCCTGCTATCAACAGGTTACAGGGCAACCCCCCAGCACCGGGCCAGCGTCGTTCTGGCATCGAAAAAACGCAGGTCCATGAATATAACAGCATCAAAGAAGCCTACGATGAGTTGCAAGAAGTACCCAGCAGCCTAAGGCATTCTCAAGAGTTGAGAGAACTGACCCCTGCCATACCCTGAAATCCAGTGGATTAACTGAGCAGGGGTCGTCCTTTGATGGTAATGAGAAAAACGGGCACTGTTTTTTGTTTTTTTTGAGAAAAATTATGCAGAATACTTTGAGATACCAGGGCCATTACCTGGCTTCGGCCGAAGAGATGATTAGTATGCAAGCTACAGAAAAAGTTAGGTTCTCTAAGGATGATCATGAGAATATTCAGACCGAAAAACCACTTGCCTTAGCGCTTGTCAGCTACTCAATCATATCCGCGTCAGACTCTCCCTCATACTCCGATATCCAGTCTCTACCAGGCCTCCCACCCCCAACTGCTAGGCTACGGAGTGGAACGACCCACCCCAGAAAACCGCACCTGCTAGGTTACAAGGCAAAGCGACCCGGCCCCGGCTCCGGCCAGCATCGACTACGTACCAGCTCACCAATAGACACTAGAGTGCCTTCCACCCTCGGCAGCTCCCCAGATCTCTCTACCAGGTCTCATGCCCCCGTACCGCTCGGGTTACAGGGCAGCGCGACCAAGCCCCAGCACCGACCAGCGTCGTTCTGACCTCGTCCATTCGCAAACCACAAGGACCAGGGATATCAGCAGATACGAGACAGGCCACCGAACGTCAGCATAGATGTAGTTCCAATCATCCACTTCTTTCAAGCACTGGCTGCAGTCATCCAACAAAAATTCCTTCCCAACCTTACTCCGGCAAGACTTATGGCGGTAGAGCCACCATCTCCACCGCTGCTGTACCCTATTTCCGCCCTACTGGCTAGCCCCTTCGCCGCAGAGCCCATTATTTCCAACCATCACAGCAAACACGGTCTACTGCAACCATCACCAAAATTACAGAGATTTTTCCAGTTGGAACCTCAAAAATCAAAAAAATCAATAGACTCAGATACACGCGCAGGAATCGTAGCCATATAAGGCAATCAACACCTATTATTCCCACAAGAAGAGAGGACGGGAGGGAACTGCTTCCCTCCCCATGGAAATTCTTGCGCCTATTCACGTTTCTGCTAGATGTAAAAGGCTCACAAAAAAACGAGTGTCTTACTCCTCCCCCCCCAAAAAACGACCTTCTGCCCTTTCACTGCCTCAACTGGAAGGTGCCCCCTCACCTCCCAGCCCCAATTCAGAACAGCCCCCTAAATCACTCTTGCTCCCTCAGCAACATACAATACCCCCTAGAGTATGCCCCCGCAGAGCCGGAGATCATCCTTCCCTCATGTCCCACCCCCTCCAAGTGAAACACCTCTCAACCTCTCACCTTGCTGAAGACAGCATCGACCCCTTGTCCTCTCTCCCAACCGTCGTAGCTGATCTGACCTAAACCAGCCTGGCCCAAAAGAGGACAAACCCACATAACGCCCCTACCCTTTCAAGGATCACACCTCCCACCTTGCATAACCCTCGCAGGGAGGGGCTCAAACCTTAAAGGAGATAATTCAATCAGCACGTATGAGCCCAAACCCTACAGTATCACAGCCTGAGACTCAATTGTGACCTATTTTTGAAAATCCCTCAAACAGATGAAATCAAATATCGAATTCAAGGAATAAGAGCCCAAACTTGATCGTACTAATATAGGCGAATACATCGAATTTAGAATCGGATCAAAGTTGAATGAACGTAAAATATCAATCCCACTTTGAAAAAACTTTTTTAAGTCAAACTTGGTAATCTTTCATTGGAATCAGAGCGAAGCTCTGATTTACGAATTTCAAATCAGGAACCTTGCGCAGAAAATACGAATTTTAGATTATAAATCTTACTCCGAAAAAAGTTTCCAGATCGACCAATTACAGCCAAAAAGCTCATAAGATCATATGAATCATTGAGAGAAAATCGAAGTTCAGCTAAAAATTTGTCAAACAAAAAATCAGATAGATCGTGTTTTAAAGACGATATCACAGCAAAAGATTTAGAAACAACTCACCAAGAATACCAAATGAAAGAATTCTAAGTCCAAAAAACTACAAAAGCAATATAGTGCTCTCAAGAATGATTGAGAGACTGTCAAGGTTAAAACTTTTAGATTAAGAGTATGAAAAAATATGTGGCCGCCAGGTAGATCACCTTATGCCAGTCCCACAATACCCCGCTCACCTGTCGCCCAATTGTTCCTCAGCGAACCGCCTCTTACGCACCCTATTACAGCGGCATTTAATCCTACTCCCTCACACGGTAACCAGCCGCCCTAACCCATCCACCCACCGATGCGCCATATCCAAAGAAGAGAGCGGCATCAACCAGAACAAGACACACCTCGAGCAGAGCAAAAACAATGACACATCCACAAAACTACAGTAGGAGAAGAACCCCATCCACTTTACCGTCATCAATATGTGAGTCTCCAATCCTCTTTCTCCGCTTAACACAGGCGATCCACCTCATCCAATTACCTTTGAGTGTCTGGGAAATATCTTCGACTAGTATGGATACCACAGGGAAACAGAGCTCGGAGAAGCGCTAATTATAGTACATCGTGTAGAGTCCACCAAAAAGCCCCCTCCACCCCCCCTTCAACGACCTTCCTTCACTCAAACCCTACCCCAGCATCTTCGGGAGAGAAGACACCAAGCCCCCCTCCACCCGCTACGACCAGAAAACTTGCAGCACGAAGGCGTAAACGGCCATCCTCAACTCAACAGGTTGATGGATGGTGTGACACGACCTCGTCGAGCCTGTCAACGAGTCGTCACAGGGGATTCAAGTCAACAACAGAATCGTACGCCTGCTTCCTGGAATAGCATCATTGAAGAAGGGAGGAGGGACTCACACCAAGGATCCAGAACTTTTGTACGGCGCTATGGCCAACCTCATCTGTATCAGTCTGGTACTCAACTACACCGCCTTCGGCACCTAGCCTCCTCCCATCCAGTTCCCTTACTGGACCGGCGGCGCTGCGCCCCGGCAGCACTGCACCGCCGGCCCGCTCTGGAGTCACACTTTGAGTTCAGAATGAGCGAAAACATCAGTCCGTTGGCAGGTATGTGGCAGCTGAGTTTGGTAAGGCAAAAAAAAACATAGGGAAAGGCAAAAGAAACATGGGGCTATAACGCCCTCCCGGAGGCTGCAATCTTAGACGTTATGTTCTTCTGTTTTTGGATGTTTTCACGATCATAGGGTTGTTGTTGTTGTTTTTTCGGGTTTTTTTTTCTCTTCACGCTATAACACCCTCCCCAAGGGCACAGTCTCAGACGTTCTCCTATCTAGGTGCTTTCACGATCATACCTTTGACGGTCGTAGTGTTGTTGCTTCTTCTTTTTGGGGAGGGGGCGACGACCTTGCTTTGTTTTCAAACTTTTCATTGTTTTTCGCGCGGGGTGGGGTGGGGTGGGGGGGGGGGGGGGGGGGGTTTTTTTTTTTTTTTTTTTTTTTTTTTTTGTGGGGGGGGCCGGGGGGGGGGGGGGGGGGGGGGGGGGGGGGGGGGGTTTTTTTTTTTTTTTTTTTTTTTTTTTGGGGGGGGGGGTCTTCTGTTTCTTGTTTTTGTTTTTCATTTTGTGGCCAGGCCACAGCCAAGATGTACAGGCCATGCCTGCCACGACCGAGATGTCTAGGATACGTCCGTGGATGGGCCGCAACCGAGATGTCTAGGCCACGCCAGTGGCCAGGCCAGAGCCGTGGCTGGGCCATTGTCGACATGTCTAGGCCACAAGCGGTTAACGGGTAGCTGAAAATTCGGGAATGAAAATTCTGAAGTGAGAGTTTTGGGCAGTCTGAAAATCCCGAATGGTCCTGAACTGGTGAAAGGATCGAAGACCTTGAAAACCACCTCTTTGGGAAGGTTGCATCCTGAAGTGGTGAAGTGAGAGTTTTAGGCAGTTTGAAAATCCTGAATGGTCCTGAAGTGGTGAAAGGTCCGAAAACCATGAAAACCACCTGTTTAAGCAGGCTGCATCCTAAAGTGGTGAAGGGTGTCCTGAAGTGGTAAAAGGTTCGAAGACTCTGAAAACCAACTGTTTAGGCAGGCTGCATTATGAAGTGGTGAAGGGTGTCTTGAAGTAGTAATGAAAAATACGACTATTGTTAACCTTCTCTCGTCTAGGCTATGCCCGTGGCTGGGCCATGGCCAAGTTGTCTAGGCCACGCCTGTGGCTGGGCCACGGCCAAGATGTCTAGGCCACGCCCGAGATGTCGAGGCCACGTCTGTGGTTGGGCCACGACCGAAGATGTATAGGACACGCCCATGGTTGGGCCACGGTTGAGATGTTCAGGCCACAGCTGAGATGTCTAGGCCTCACATGGGGAAAAAAAAAAAAAAAAAACGACCAGCTATCATGCTATGGTCATGAAAGCAGGTGGACACAGAATCTGGAGAAGGTGTGACAGTACACCATCCTTGAGGGCATTATTGCCCTGCGGTCATCACGACAGTGGAAAAAAAAAAGCAACGACGAAACAAAAAAATCAAGAGCAACAATGCTATGGTCGTGAAAGCAGTTGGATATGGCCCTGTGTTTTTCTTGCTCAGGCCCGTGTTTTTCTTGTTTGTTCAAACTCAGTCGCGACATACCTTCCTACCAACTCAGTACCAAGTGATGTTCTCACTCGTTTCGAACAGCACCTACAACTTCAACGTACTTGCCTCTTTCTTTTTTCTTTTTATTGGCACATTGATGGGCACCAGATTTGCAATCTAAGCCCAGAGTTAAACCACAGGTACCTCTGAGGCCCCGCCACTACGAGGCCGCGGGGCCCTCACCACGACTTTAGGAGGCCCACGCAACAACTTAGGTCGTTGATGAAAAATCTCAACGGCCCCCGGCCTTCGAAAGTCGTGGCGCCGCCGGCGCATTAATGTTAACGCCCTATGGGCGCATAGTGGCAGAGGTACTAGTGGTTTAAGTCTAGGTAGAGTGTTATCATACTTCAACTTTTTTGACTGAATTTTATCACAGTTGTATTTAGTGGGCCTTCTGATTTCTTGGGAGAACATGCTATTTATTTATTTTTAAGTAGAGCATACAAACTTTTTTTTTTTTTTTTTTTTAAAAACGGGCCCAGCGCCCAAGGCTGATATTCCGAAAGATAAGAACGAGGTCAGGGTCCTCACAGTCTACCCGGATGTGTAACATGTCTGGGAGCCTTACCCAAAAGGCGTTGGGATCTCCCTTGCGGCTTGACGCAGCCGCTAGGTTTTCTCGTTGTTCGAAGGCCACTCCCCTCCCGCAGTACACACCCACGGTCCACTCGCCTGCCCCCTGACTGAGCTCAACTGCCTTTGAATGTACTCCAACTGCCCCCCCTTTTTCCCGTCGTTATGCCCCTTCTACCAAAGTCATGCCCTGGGGCAACGTCTTCACGTAGTTGAGGCTCCTGCGTGGACTTCCTAGGACCCTCGCCTATTACTAATTTTCAGATTGACCGGGGTTTAAAGGTTGGAGTGCCCCGTAATCGATCCCGAGCCTGCTAGCTCTTAGTAACTCCTGGCGCACATGGATCACCCTTGGGCCAATCCTAGAAGCTCACTAGGCCCACAAATACTGGACTGGATAGGCGAATCGAAGCATGGAATTTTAATCCGACGTTCCAACACCCGGGTTTCGAGATCCAAGGTTACAAGCAGACTTCGCGCGAACAGGAGCAAGCAGTAACTTGAGGCTCGTGCGTATCGCAACGAAGGTTCGGGGACCGGACCCAAACAGGAATCGGGAGTTCATAGGTGGTTTTGACTAAGTTACAAAATGCACATGGACTGGTCCCAAACAGGAATTTGAGGTTCGTGTGTGCCTCAACTGCAGTTCAAAACGCAAAAAGACCAGTACCAGACGAGATTTTCGAGGTTCGCAGACAGCTCGAGTGACGTTCAAAATGCAAAGAGACCAAACGGGAATTTGAAGTTGGTTGGTAGCCAGACTGAGGTTCCGAATACAAACAAACTCGTCCCAAATAGGAATTTGATAACGGACCCGACCCAGACAGGAGTTCGAGATCTGTATGCGGCCTGACCCGCATAGACAGGGCCCATGAGTTTGACCTTGGTTCAAGTGGGCGCTCGAAGCGCGGATCAACCGTGAAAGGGCCGACTGTGGTCAAAGATCTCGACTGCTGCTTAGTGGCCCCCGGCGGTGCCCTGCTTCCCCAATTGCTTGACTCACGGAGCTGGATCAACCGCCCCAGGCAGCCTTTCCTCTCTGTCTCTCTCTCTCTCTCTCTCTCTCTCTCTCTCTCTCTCTCTCTCTCTCTCTCTCTCTCTCTCTCTCTC